CCTGGGAATCCTGAATTTAATATATGAAACTAATATATTGAAAAACAATGTTACAGCAAAAAACATTAATACACTGCAGACATATTTTTAAAAATTATGATTAATTCATTAAATACTAAATAAATAAAACTATTACGCTTGTTTGTCTAACTTAGAGTTGCCGACCTTCCTGTTTTCCCAGGACATGTCCTAGTATTTGAAGTGTCCTGGGATGTCCTGAATAGTTATTTAGCAGCGTCCTGAGTTTTTAAAATATGCGCGCCTCTTAATTACTGATTTTCAACAGTATAAGTGCAACAAACCTATGCCTTAAAACTCCTTCCCATACTTCTTCTTTCTACACTAACTCATTCTCTGTGCGCGCCGTGCGACTGTGGAACTCACTACCATCCTCCATACGGAGTGCGCAATCACTAACCATTTTCAAGAACGCTGTGAAATCGCACTATCTCTCTCAGTAAATATTCTTTCTGCTGTCCTTTCTTTCTTATTACTAAATTGTCGCCTTCATAATTGCATATATGTTGCTGTGTACCTATACTCGTATATATTTGTATTATATTATTGTATATTTATTTTATAAGTTATGTATTTATATATTATGTAGAATGTATATGTTTATGATATGTATTATTTTATATATTAATATTATTAATGTTTCTACTCCATCATGCGCCATCCACCACCTTCTGTCTTTTCTCCTCTACCCAAAGGTTGTCTGGAAGAGATCGCATAAGCGATAAGACCGCCTTTTGTACCCATAATCTAAATATTGTTTTCGTTTGTATATATGTTTCTTTTTTTTTTTTTGTTATTATGGTGCAATAAAGAGTAATAAATAAATAAATAATTTTATCAAATACTAGCTGGCCCGGGAAACGTTGTTTTGGCTTAAAATAAAAAAAAAATTTAGGTGTGGACTACCACAAAAAAAATTTAGGTGGGGATGAAAAATAGATGTTGGCCGATTCTCAGACCTACTTTTCAGGCCGTTTCGGAGGAGTATGGGAACGAAAACTGTGACTCGAGAATTTTATATATAAGATTATTTACTTGAATTTTATTACATATTAATATAATTATTGCAACACTATTACTGCGTTCTGTTTTTAAACTGAATATTCCTGGTTTTTTGAACTTTCAATTCTGGTTTTTTAAATTTGGGCTCGGCAACCCTACATTAATCGGCTGTGTTGCAGTGACCGTCTTGGCCCGTTGAAAGGTAAATTAACGATTAATGTTTGTTCTTGTTAACGAATTTATAGTGATGTAGTCTATTTTTGTTCTGACAACAAATTCTAAAGTGGTACAGCCATCTACGCGTAGTGTTTGTGTTGCAGTCTGAAGAAGTATAGATGAAGAAGAATAACTTTATTTCGTAACACTTAAGTAATATTTTATCTGTATCTCTCATTAGTGGTAGTAAAAGCAAGTATAATGGTTAAAGGAACATCGGTACGGCAATCAGAGATGATAATAATATTGCGTTTAATAATATTGTAATATACGAGAAATATATATATCTATAATCTATAATATATATAAATATAACTCAAAGGTGACTGACGTAGTGATCTATCAACGCACAGCCCAAACTACTGGACGGATCGGGCTGAAATTTGGCATACAGTTAGATGTTATGACGTAGGCATCCGCTAAGAAAGGATTTTGATTAATTCTACCCCCAAGGGGATAAAATAGGGGATGAAAGTTTGTATGAAACTTTGTCCATTTTCAACTGATCGGGCTGAGACTGGGCATGCATAAAGCTACTATGACGTAGGCATCCCCTAAGAAAGGATTTTCATAAATTCCACCCCTAAGAGGATAAATTAACGCGAGCGAAGCCGCGGGCAAAAGCTAGTTTAATAATAATATTGGTAAGATACGAGAATTATATATATTTACATATATGTATGTATTTGTTTTTTTTTCTAACTACTTTAATGCCGTTGGCCGCAGATAGCCTTTTATGTATTTATTAATACTCGAGAGAGAATAGTGTCTGGTAGTATTGTAATGTGCGATATGGTAGTGTAATTACAATATACAGATCCTTAAAAATATAGTCCTCAGGTATAAACTCATGATAACTATAATAATAATAAAATTATAAGGAACTAGAATGACTAACAATTTGAGTACCATCTGTGAACTGTAAAGATGATAAGTGAAAATCCTTAATCCTTATCATAAATGAACATTGCTGATATCACGTTATCATGTGATGCCGGAAGTACTCATCATGGTGATTTGCATCTAAATCCTTATACATATACTTGCACTGCCATTTCTTCAAACACAGATTCCAAAGCAAGCTGCTTAGCGGCCGGAATATGTGAGACAGAGTTACTTTCTTAAAGTGTATTTGTTATTTTTTTTATACTACTATGGTGGCAAACAAGCTTACGGCCCATCTGATGGTAAATGGTTACCGTAGCCTATGGACGCCTGAAACACCAGCGGCGTCACGTGCGCGTAGCCGACCCTTAAGAAAGCTTAATGTACCTTTCTTGAAAAACCCCATGCTGTAGTCTCGTGAGAAAACCTTGGCAGGTAGTTCATTCCACAATCTAAGTGTACGCTGGAGGACGCTCCTCTGAAACCGCACTGTCCGAGACCACTTAGGTTCTAGCGTGTGGGGATGAATTCTTATATTCATCCCACACGCTAGAACCTAAGTTGGTATTATTTCTTATATGAATGAATTCTTAAGTTGTACTGATAATTTAAAATATAGAAACATAAATATAATAGATCTGCTATTCCATCCAACTCTTCATCAATGATTGACCGTGTTTCGGTGGATATTTTCATAAAGTTTATGAGGTTAATTCTTTCTACGTGATTCTATGCAATTTGATTGATCACGGCAGAAGCTTTACTATATTGACAGACGACTATTTGTTGGGCATATAACAATACCTATATATATAGGTACTACCTGACCCCGTAAATGTTGTTTTGATAAAAAAATAAAATCGCTATTGAACAATAGGAGTTGGGGATAGAAAGGTGAAAATTTAGGGTATGTTAGGGATGAACAACCCTTATCATTTAGAGGTATAAAAAATAGTCGCCGATTTTAAGACCTACTGAATATGCATATATAATTTCATAAAAATCGGTCAAGCGTATGGTAACTAACATTGTGATATGAGAATTTTATACAGATATAAGGTTATGTGTAAGTGTAAGTACGTAGATTAACTATCTTTAATTTCAGTTATTCATAACAGTCGGATGGTTATAAATCGGGCTTGTACAATAGATATACTATATAGATGTGTAGTGCAAGTGAGTACATATAAATGTGAATGTGAATGCGCGGGTGCAGACAGCGCGCAACTGTTCGCGTCAACTGAACGCTATCTGCGGAAGTGACACGGCGACTTGCTTTCAGGAATCTCTTGTGGTGACAGCGTTGCTAATCTCATAGACAGGAACTGAAGATTCGTAAATTAAGAATATATTTAATTTAAAAATTATTATCTAAGATATTTAATGTTATGTAGTTCTAAGTAATGAGCATGGAGCAAAATATTTGGCAATTCTGTACGTAATTCCTATGGCTTTTCGATAGTGAAGTATGTAGGTAACTATCTTTAATTTCAGTTATTCATAACAGTCGGATGGATATAAATCGGGCTTGTACTATAGATATACTATATTTTTTTTTTTTTTTTTATATCATAATTTGAGCGCGTTTGACCGCAATCTCACCTGATGTTAAGTGATGATGTGGTCTAAGCTGTTACACGCAAGCTCAAATAATACCTATTCACTCTTGACTTAAAAGACCCAATGTTGTAAGAGGCAGGAAAAATAGACGCTGGTAGAGAGTTCCACTCCTTAGCTGCTCGCATAAGGAAAGATGATGCAAAACGGTTAGTTCGAGCAGCTGGGATGTCAATAGTGTAGGGGTGGAGCCGCTCTCCACGTCTTGTTGTACGTTGATGGAACGGTGCTGGAGGAATGAGGTTGTGCAGTTCTTGAGCACATTCGCCAAAATGGAGCCTATAGAACACCGATAGACAAGCTACTTTACGTCGGTGATTAAGACTTTGAAGCCTCTTAGCTACAAGTGATTCGTCCCCGATAAGTCTCCTTGCTCGTCTGTCGATTGAGTCTAGAGCGTCAAGTTGGTACTGAGCGGATCCGTCCCATAATATAGATGTGTAGTGCAAGTAAGTACATATAAATGTGAATGCGCGGGTGCAGACAGCGCGCAACTGTTCGCGTCAACTGAACGCTATCTGCGGAAGTCACACGGCGACTTGCTTTCAGGAATCTTTTGTGGTGACAGCGTTGCTAATCTCATAGACAGGAACTGAAGTTTCGTAAATTAAGAATATATTTAATTTAAAAATTATTATCTAAGATATTTAATATTATGTAGTTCTAAGTAATGAGCATGGAGCAAAATATTTGGCAATTCTGTATGTGGGGGTTTAAGCCCACGGTTCCGTGATAATGCTATTGATTGATTGATGAGGGGTTTTTGATAAATAAAACCGCCTTGGTTGAATGCTACTCGAACACTGACTTTTATTACTAAAATAAATATAATGAGGTGAAATGTATAGAAATGAAATTGCATGTGTAGGCAATTGTGTATTGCACAGTAAGCAGGCATGTGCGGTTGCCCGTACATCCTGCCGCCACACGAAATGAGAGCATGCATGTGAGATAAAATGCTTGATTGATATTAATGATAAACAATGCTCTGATGGGGTATGTAATACAAGGTGATTAACAATTTCTTACAATCTACTTAACACTTAAATGGTACAAGTTAAGGATGATAACAAGATGATAAACAAAGTCCTGTATATTAAATGCTAACTTATAATCTAAATTGTTTGTGTCCCTGAATCTACACTGGGAAATATAAATTTAACGTTTCGCGAAGAAACGGATTTTGTGTTGTCCTTAATGTCTCTACACTGCACTTCACTATCACCTAAGCACTGATCACTACGCGCACTAATGTCCTTCCACTACACTTCACTAACACCTAAACACTGATCACTTAACACACTTTCGCGGGACTCGCCTAACCTTGTAGGCGGGTGCTCCCGCGCCTGTAGAGGTGGTTCAACCTGCTCCTTCCGATGTCTCTGTTTAATTTTATTGACTACACAGATTCCTCCCACGACACATAGCACGAATATAATTATGTACAATATTGTGTAATGATGGATGTCGTGATGTGATAAGCTGCTCAAGTTCGCCTGCTCCTTGATATTAGCTATTTGGGAACCCAATTGATCCCATTGGGTTTGATGACTTTTGATGGTAAGATTTAGTGGCAGTGTGGTATTAATTATTGAATTTAGGATAGACCTATGTGGGGCTTCAATTTCGGGATTTATATTAATTTCATTAATAAAATTATTGTGTGCGTAGATGGTAAATAAATTTCCCTTTATGATGCAACCTTCATGTATACTGATAATTCCACTTCCGTGCAGAGTGTCAGTGACAATATCAGATATACATAACAAACGTATCTGACACTGCCCACAACAATGAAATAGCCAGACATTCTGTCGTCGTAATTTGAGCCATGAATCTTCACACGGCGCTTGCTTTGTTTTGCAGACTGATGAGTTGGCACTGTCTGTGAACCTGATATCGCATAGGGAATGTTTTATTTTTAAATCATATACGGGCTTATTTAGTGTGCATAGTTTTTTGTCGGATGATATGTGGATGCATGATTGTAGATCAATATCTGTGAAGAAGATTGCCATGTCCTTTCTCAGATTAAATGCTATGTAAGAGGTAGGTGGAATAATAATGTAAGTTTTATTCGACCTTCTTTGTGGTATACTTAAAATTTGATCCAGTTCATATATTTCGTTACTCAATAATGGAATTTTTACTTGAACGATCAATAATTTATTAATTATTCTAGCTGATATTTTTAGCAATTTATATAGTTCTTTTATTTCAGTCCTTCCCACCGGTAATGTGAGATCACCACGCAATTGACTGAGGATAATGCTAATTTGATTTGCTAATTGTTCAGGAGATAATAAATGAGGGTCAATGTGACCTTGAGATATATTGATCACTGTATCAAGGAGTGTAGTTTGTATACGTCTCAGGTGTGATAAAAGTATGCTTGCTGATAGGCCAGATGATTTGATATGTGCATCCTCTTGTTGCCTAGATCGATCCAATTGTACTTGTGATGTCATATTATTTAAATACTCTCTAATGAATGAAAATTGCTGATTCATATATTGTTCGTTACGACGTAATATATTGTATTCAGCCTCCAAGATTGAAGTTTGATTTTTATATAATTTTAACAGATGCTCTTCATTTTGTGATATTTTTTCGATATCTTGGTGGTATTGCTCAGCGAATCGCTCGTCCAGTACTCCAAATAAGCTGTTAGCAACATATCCAACTCCATTTATTAGCCCTCTCTTGACTCTATTTGGAGAGTTTTGAAGCAATGTATTGTAATGGCGAATTTCATTTAGTTCGTGATCTAATTGAGGGGCAATATTACGTAACTATATACGATTGTGTAGTTGATGCGTTGTTTAGGTTTCTAATATATTTCAGGTAATGTTCTATTTCAGACACGCCTTGCCAATATGGTGTCATGTTATAATATACGACGAGATTCCATTCATCTCTGATTACTTGGAGATCTGATATTTTATCAAAATATAGACCTTGATCATTGTTTAGTTGAGTGATATTGTACGGCTGGACCTCAAGTTGCATTGTTGGGGTAAACAACATGAACATCATGAGGAGCGCTGTATAGACATAAGTTAAAAATGATTTAGGCTTGCGTGTACATTTTGATTTCGTGATATTCTCCCTTTCTGCTTGATTTTTGCTCAATGAAGAAGGTTCATCGGTTACAGGTAAAAGTACTAATTTTGAAATTGGTCGTTTCACCATATTGCTATGTGTTTTTAAAGTTACAACCCTTACATGACCGTCTTTTCCAGGGTGCAACTCTTGTATGCGACCTAATGCCCACCTTCCAGGAGGTAAACTTTCCTCTTTTATTAGGACAACGTCATTGATAGCAAGGTTTCTGCTGACTGCTCTCCATTTAGATCTTGTTTGTAATTGCTGTAGATATTCATCGGACCATCTTTTCCAGAAATGTTTATTCATTGACTGTACCAACTGCCATCGCGTTGTACTCTGCATAATATGTGGTTCCGATTGTGGTCGTGATAATAATGCTCCTCCCACCAGGAAGTGACCTGGTGTTAAATATTCATCATCTGCATTTTCTGATAATACGCAAAGTGGCCTCGAGTTCAAACATGCTTCGATCTGACATAGTAAAGTGGTGAACTCTTCATAGGTCAGCTTCTGTTCACCTATAACACGTTTGAGGTGATATTTCAGGCTACCCACTGCTCTTTCCCATAGGCCCCCTGCACTGGGCCATGCTGGAGCATTGAAATGCCACTGAACTTCCATTTCAGTAACTTTATTGATAAATTCGTGATTGATATAAGATAAGATTTCCTTATATTCTCTTTTTAAACAGCGGTCGGCACCTACAAAGTTGGTCCCATTGTCACTATACATATGCTGTGGGGTTCCACGTCTACTGCAAAACCGACGAAAAGCTGCTAGAAATGCTGGTGTACTGAGATCTGATACGAGCTCCAAATGTATAGCTTTTGTTGAAAGGCAGACAAAAACTGATATATAACCTTTACTAGTCCTTATACCCCTTCCCTTGTTGACCTTCAGTTCTACAAATCCAGTGTAATCTACTCCTGTATGTGTAAAGGGTCTAGAGGGTGTAACTCTAGGCTGAGGTAAGTCTGCCATAATTTGATTCTGTTCATGATGATTATAGCGCCTGCATTTAACACATTTTCTCAGCTGTCGCTTCACTGTTCGTATACCTGATATAATCCAATATTTATTTCTGATATATGATAAGGTAAGTTTTGGACCTCCATGCAAAGTTGCTAGGTGTGCTTGGTGAATAATCAACTCTGTAAGACGACTATTACTACCTAAAATAATTGGGTGCTTTGCTGTGTAACTGAGTATTGAATTATTCAGTCTCCCTCCTACTCTCAAAATTCCATCGGTATCCATAAAGGGGTTTAAATTTCCTAAACTACTTTTAGTTGAAACTAATTGCTTTTTATTTAAATTACTAATATCTTCTAAAAATTGATACGCTTGATATGACTTAATTATTAAATTCATTGACCGCTTCATTTCTTCGAAAGACAATGTGTCTACACGTGTCGTATTCTGCTGACACCGCGCGCGCTCAATAAAACGCAATACCCATGCTAATATACGAGTAATTTGTGTTAAAGAGCTATAATCATTTAATAAATTCATTATAAATGATTGCTCATTTTGATATAAGGCTACATTCACACAAGCCTTTTTTATTTCAATATTTGGTGGTTGATATTTTTCTTTTACCATACTGTTAGGGTTAAATGTTAATAACCACCTTGGACCTTCCCACCACAGACGATAATTTTCCAGATGAGATGATGTCATTCCCCTGGTTGCACAATCCGCAGGATTTTCATCTGTTTTAACGTGATGCCATTGTGATGGAGGTATAATATCAGTAGCTTGCTGAACTCTATTTGCAACAAACTCCTTCCATCTTGATTTGTCACCCTGTAGCCAACCCAAAACAATCATAGAGTCAGTCCAAGCATAAATTTGAATATTTTTATACGTTAATGATTTGACTACTTTATGTATAAGTTGCGATAATAAAACTGTACCACACAATTCTAGTCTCGGTAATGATACTTTTTTGTTCAGTGGTGATAATTTTGTTTTTGCCGCTACTAGCGTTGATGTGAACTTGCCCTTACAGTCTGTGCTGACAATATACACAGCACAAGCGTATGCTTTTTCTGATGCATCGCTAAATCCGTGTAATTGTATATTGTTATTATTTTGACCCAGATACCTTTTAATAGTGAATTTATTTATCGTTTTAAAGTCGTTTTCTAATTGATTCCAATCTTGTATGATATCATATGGTAACTGAGTATCCCATGACAACCCTGTGGCCCACACTCTCTGAAAGATTAATTTTGCTCTAATAGATACTGGTGATAGCCAGCCTAGGGGGTCAAATAATTTTGCTATTGATGATAATAAATGTCTTTTTGTGTATGATTTGCTATTTGATTCATATGATATGTTTTGATATGAGAATGAGTCACCTGATGGACTCCACTGTAATCCAAGTGTTTTTCTACTCTTTTTACATTTGAATTCGTATGGTGAGTCGAGCATTTCTGGCGACAAGTCTTCTACGAGTCTTGCGTCGTTACTGGACCACTTGCGAATGTTCATGCCTGCGCCGCTCAGTATTGATATGATCTGTCTTTGTAGTTCTTTTGTTTGTTCAAGAGAGTCTGCACCGCCCAATAAATCGTCCATATAAAATGATTGTTCTAATGCTGATGCTGCTAAGGGATATATATCGCCGTCATCTTGTGCTAACTGCCTGAGTGTTCTCATGGCTAAATATGGCGCGGCCTTGGTGCCGTAAGTGACTGTCGTTAAATGATATGTTTGTAGTGGTTCAATCTCTGAACTCCTCCATATAATTGATTGTAGTATCTGATCTGATTTTCGAACCATGATTTGGCGAAACATTTTCTCAATGTCAGCCGTGATAACATATTTATATTGCCTCCATTTTATGATCAGCCCTTGAATGTCATGTTGTAAATTAGGACCACACTCCATTAAGTCGTTTAAGCTATAACCAGATGATGTTTTAGAAGAGGCATTAAACACAACTCGAAGTTTTGTGGTAGTGGAATCTAATTTAGTTACACCATGATGCGGCATGTAGAATAAGGGTTGTTCAGTGCTATTGGTTTTACGCATATGGCCTAGATCTTTATACTCGTCCATGAATCCTTTATATCCGACGAAAAATGATGTATTCTTTGTTAATTTATGCTCTAATTGCTTAAACTGTGCTATAGCTCGTTCCTTTGATTTACCAATATGTTGCTCGAATCCTGATTTCATTGGTAGCGCAACTTCATATTTCCCATCTTCTAAACGTTTTGTTGTGTCCATGTAGATGTTTTCACAACGTTGCTCTCCCTCTGATAGTGGTGATAAACTGCTTGTGATATCTTCTATTTCCCAGTACTGAGATATCTCACTTAGGTCGTTGATCACAACGTGACAATTAAATGTTTTTATTCCCACGCGACCTGAGACTATCCAGCCCAGTTCTGTTCGCTGTGCTATAGGTTCATCCCTATGTACTTTTATCAAACCGTCTAAAATTATCTCCGAATATATATTGGTATTTAATAAAATGTCTATGTTGCTTGAAGTGTTATAATCAGGGTCTGCTAAAGGTAAATTTTTTAAGTGATGAAAATTACTTATATCGAATGATGTAGTAGGCAGATTGCGAACTATTTTTCTCGGCATAATTAGTGCTTCGGCAACAAACTCATAGTCGTTACGTAACGATTTGCAGTCCAGTAGAACTTTTCCCCTGCTTTGATTTGGTGATTCTCCTATACCAGCAACGGAAGCGTTCAGATGTTCACGAGGCAATCCGTTAGGATTCGAGAGAACGGAAAGTGCCGTACAACTGTTAAGTTGTACGGCACTTTCCGTTATCATAGTAACCTGCGAACCTTGGTCTAATAAGGCCCGTAGAGTTACATACGACCCATCGCTTGATAATACCTGCATTTGTATAGTTGTTAATAACATTTCATCATTATTTGCTACATAATTAGCGCTATATCGTTTGTCAGCTGATTTTGCAAAATTTTTATTATTCATTTGTGGTGACCTCTTTATCGGAAACGCGTCGTGGAGCATCGTATTATGCTCGCCGTTGCATTCCTTACATCGCTTTGTTGAAAAACAATTAGTGTCATGTTTGTATAGACAATTTGGACATATATTAAGTTTAGTCACTGTCGCCAATTTTGATTTTGGTGACAGGTCAATGAACTGATTACATTTAAATAAATCATGGTCTTGATTGCATTGTGGACATTTATATGTCTTCGTAGTTACTGCTTGAAAGAATGGTTTTTGATATGGTTTATCTATTTTATTACGGCCTGTATTATTATGAGAATAATTATTTATGCTAGGTCTCCCAGTGCTCATAAATCTAAATGAATTTGATGATGATGGTTTGCTTATATGGTGCTGTGACACCTTTTCAGTTGTCACTACCCTTTCCTTCCTACTTATGGGTTCGAGAGCTGTAAATTTACTCTCTAGGAATCCCATAAATTCGTCTAAAGCTGGCAGACTCCTGGGATCCTTACGAGCTTCCATATAGGCAGCATACGTTAAATGATCTAATTTTTTTGATAATATATGGACTAATAATGGGTCCCAGGTTGTTGTATCAATGCCAAGATTGTGAATGGCATGGATACATTCCATGCTAACGTCGTGCAGCTTTTTAATATCGAATGACGTTTGTTTGCTTATATTGGCTTGATTTAATAATATCTCAATATGCTTTGTGAATAGAATTTGTGGGTTATTATAGCGGTGCGTTAAGATTTCCCACGCGGTGTCATAATTATCTGAGGAGATGGTGAGATGGTGAATGAGACGTTCAGCTTCTCCTTTTATTTTACCCTTGAGGTGCTGCATTTTTTGTGATTTTGACAATGTGTTATTATTATGAATGGCCTCATAAAATAGGTCATGAAAAGTAGGCCAATGGGTGTATTGACCTGTGAAGGTTGGTATCTCCAGCTGTGGTGTTGAATTGTTTAAGTGAGCTGCTGAACTTAGTTTTTTATTTAATCTCCGCTTTATAGTTCTGTATGATGTTTCATAGCTCGCGAACTCTGTATCATAGTCTACATCTTCTCCTTGCAAAATGTTGTCTATTTGAAGATGTAAATTTTCGATAGTACTCCACCGTGATTGTATACTACGAAGCTCATCCTCCAACTCCCATTTTTCATCTATGCTATCCACATTTACGCTCAATAAAAGACGATTAAAAGCCCTAAAATTTGTTCTTTGTAAAGTTAGTAATTCGTCTGCCTTTTGGTTACGCTGAGTGCCCTTATCTTCTTTATTAAAAGAAATTAATTTTGATATTATGTCTTGGAAAACATCTTTCGTTTTTTGATAAATGTTATCCCGAAAATACTGCGCAGATTTATCCTCGTATGAAGATAACTCTACGTGATTCTGTTCGAACTCTCCCCACAAGTTATTTAAGGTTTCTATCCTATTTTTTAGATAATCCGATGTTTTTCTAGAGGATGAGTCCTTATTAAAATTTATTCTTATTTTATTTATTGATTCAAATATGTCAGCCTGACGCTTGATTAGCTCCATCTTATATTTTAATAGCTAATAATTAAAGGAACAGTCTTACTTGATCTGCTTCTCACTCTGCTGTTGATGATGATGTTCTGCTATGCTGCTGATGATGCTCTGCTCTGATGCTGATGATGCTCTGCTCTGATGCTGATGATGCTCTGCTCTGATGCTGATGATGCGATGTCTGTGAACCGTGCTCTCGGCCCACGTGACACCACTTACAGGATTCCGCGATTGTCACTTTTTAAAGTTCTTCAACGCGAGATCCCGCCTTCGACCGAACAGGAGTAAGGTCAAAGACTCGAAGGACCAAAGAATGTGGGGGTTTAAGCCCACGGTTCCGTGATAATGCTATTGATTGATTGATGAGGGGTTTTTGATAAATAAAACCGCCTTGGTTGAATGCTACTCGAACACTGACTTTTATTACTAAAATAAATATAATGAGGTGAAATGTATAGAAATGAAATTGCATGTGTAGGCAATTGTGTATTGCACAGTAAGCAGGCATGTGCGGTTGCCCGTACACTGTACGTAATTCCTATGGCTTTTCGATAGTGAAGTATGTAGGTAACTATATTTAATTTCAGTTATTCATAACAGTCGGATGGATATAAATCGGGCTTGTACAATAGATGTACTATAAAGATATACTATAAATGTGAATGCGCGGGTGCAGACAGCGCGCAACTGTTCACGTCAACTGAACGCTATCTGCGGAAGTCACACGGCGACTTGCTTTCAGGAATCTCTTGTGGTGACAGCGTTGCTAATCTCATAGACAGGACTGAAACTACTACTAACTGAAGTTTCGTAAATTAAGAATATATTTAATTTTAAAATTATTATCTAAGATATTTAATGTTATTTAGTTCTAAGTAATGAGCAAAATATTTGGCAATTCTGTACGTAATTCCTATGGCTTTTCGATAGTGAAGTATGTAGGTAACTATCTCTAATTTCAGTTATTCATAACAGTCGGATGGATATAAATCGGGCTTGTACAATAGATATACTATATAGATGTGTAGTGCAAGTGAGTACATATAAATGTGAATGCGCGGGTGCAGACAGCGCGCAACTGTTCGCGTCAACTGAACGCTATCTGCGGAAGTCACACGGCGACTTGCTTTCAGGAATCTCTTATGGCGACAGCATTACTAATCTCGTAGACACGAACTGACAAATTCCTTAAATAAAAAATATATTTAAAGTATCATATAAGATATTTAATTTTATGTCGTTTTCAGTAATAATAATGAATTTTGCATAATGTTATATTTTTCTATATGAACCGAATGACTTAGATAGATAAAGATATAAGTTATCTACTTTTAATTACAATCTTTCATTGAAGTGGGCAGAATTTAGTTAAGTTTAAAGGACAACTGTATATTAGCCGGGCCATAAAACAGTAGATAAGCTGTAATGTTGTTCTCGTCAACTGTTCGCGTCAACTGAATGCTATCTGAGGAAGTCATTCAGCGACTTGCTTTCAGGAATCTCTTGTGGTGACATTACTAATCTCATAGAGAAGACTTGACTTTTCTTGAATTAGAATTTAAATAAATAATACACTGAATAAAGTAAATAAATGTTTTGAAAGCATTTAGCGAGGGTATACGCTCTTTTACTTAAGACAAGCTGTTATTTGCGACTTCATCTGCTTTTATGAGTTTAAAAATAATCTCTCCGTATTTAAGCCGTTTACTCAGGAAACACTTACAAACAGACTGAGAGACTATATAAAATCTACTTGGCAAAAAATTAAAATTAAAAAAATTGAAGAATTCGTTAACGATAATAATGTTTTTGTAGAAAAATTTTAAATACATAGCACTGACAATATTATCTGATTACACTAATAATGAGTGCGTAGCGATTTCTATGTTGATTGTCGCATGCCTCTTACTTGTTACACTGTAATTATTTATATAAAAAAAACATCTATTAAAAAGAGCAACACACAAGTTTCTTGCTCATTCTTCTTGTGATGAATTTGCATTCCGAATGAGTGGTAGAATCAAAATATGACTATTCAAAAGTGCTTGTAATGAGTTTATTTGAATAAAGATTATTTCTATTTTCTATTCTATTCTATTGGTAACTTGGTAACTCTAATCTGTACTATACCTTTACTTACTCTGTGGTATGTCTCAGTGCAATACAGCCACTAAGTGGTTGTCGGACGTTTCGCGCTTGAAGCGCTTTAAAGCGATGTATTTGCTTAGTGAGCCGTCGAGATAGCGCTGTGTTGATGTCTTGTTCTCTTGTGCTATAATATCTGGGATACCTACATGTTTGGTACGTACTAGAGTGAAAAGATAAGTGGTTTTAGTAAACATTGTTATAGCATTGTTGGATCTGAGTAAGTTATTTTTAATATCACAAGTATCTGGTGGATGATACGTTTTTTTTTTTAGTGTATGATAATGGAATGGAGCACCCGCCTGCGCTAACGGTCTACGCTGGCGGGGCACCAGTGGAGGATGACAAGATGAGCATGAGGTCAGGTCAGTTAGCCCATCGTGACAAATTCACCAAGAATTTATCACGATGGTTTCCAGGGAGAACCACGTGGAGGTCGACCTAACATGGTACATTGTTAGCAATGGGAGTTACTAGTTCCTATTGCTAACAATCCCCTTCCCCCTTGGATGATACGTTCTGTTTATACAACTGTGTAACAGTATAGACATGTTATGAATTCAAATATAAATATAAAAATATATAATACAAAATTTAAGGGACACAACTAATGGTGCTTTTTGAATAGAACAAGAGACTTTTAGTCCGAAATGTTAACGCATGCATCACGAGCGGGATATGATAGCGTGATATCGGGATTGTGTTCATGTATATGCATAATCGACGGTTACCATTTACCGTCATATGGACTGTCGGGCTGTATATAATTCCAATTAAATTAAAAAATAAAAATTAGTAATCTGTGGTCTCTATATCGATATAGATTTTTTTATTGATGATATGGAATCGTGCATCCGCCTGCGTTAACGATATATGCTGGTGGGGCACCAGTGGAGGATGATAAGATGAATAACTGAGGTCAGGTCAATTAGCCCATCATGACGAATTCATCGGAAATTTGTCATGATGGCTTCTAGGGAGAACCGCGTGGAGGTCAACCTGACATGGTACATTGCTAGCAATGGGGTCATCAGTCCACATTACTAATAATCCCCTTTCCTCCCTAGTTATTTTAACTATAAAAAGAAACACAAAATTCTAGGCGTCATCCAAATTCGATCTCACGACCTCTATTTGTGAAGTTATGGTAGTAAACCACTAAACTATGACACTATAAAAAAAGACTACCTACAGTAAATCCAAAACCAATTCGTACAACGATAGCGTGAAGTATGTTTGTATTGGCTGCGAACGTTTCCTGTTCTTCCGATGATGGATGGCTCGAGTGATTTATTTCTCGACCATCAGCCGGCCTCTATTTATGCACTTATTGTGAAGGAAAAGCGATCATAATTCATAATACTCTTGGTACAATTTATAAGCGGCAGCGGGTTTTTAATTTATATACCGTGTAAAATAAAGTTATTATGTGACGGTACATTTGACTTGTAATAAGTATATTTAATAGCTAATGTACTATTAACTAATTTGTTATTTATATCTCCTAGTATACTAGTTGTTGACTCCATAATATCTATTCTATTTATCTAGCACAGTCTATGTGCGCCCGGCACGAGACGAAAGTTGAATGTACTAATCTAATACCAGTGTTATGTATACATTACAAGTGCGCTAACGGTTCGTGGCATATAGGATGTATGAAGTCAGATCAGTGTGACAAATTCGCCGGGAGTAGGTAGTTCGTCATATAGGTATATGAATAAAGATGTATTGATTTGATTATTTCCAGTGCCAATTGACATACGGTATATCTAGAGCTTGGTTACTCGGTTGTTGCAATAGTTTCTTATTTTAACGATACAAGTATAAAGGGAGTTGCAGATACATTTATTAACTGGAACCTAATTTAACAGAGGTTAGTTTTGGTACTAATGCTAGTCGAATGATTCACGACTATAATTCGCAGTTGCATAACTTTTCGGTTCAATCTGTTTAAGATAAAAAACTTCCTAACAAAATAAAGTTTCGTTGTCATGAGTTATGAGGATTAGATACGAACAAACGAACAGAAATAGTAACAAATGATTAGATATTAGCTTAACTTTCTCTGTAAGATATTGTAGATATGTCATAACGCAAAACAACGTAGCATTTTTATTTAATTACTTCTCATCCTCTTTTCTTATAAATAAATTATTTATCGCATTATTTATATATTTATATCCGTAATTATAGCAACAGCAAGTATCTTTTTGTCAATATTCAATAAATCGGATATCAGTTCAGTTATTGTCAATAATCACTTTGCGGTATAGGTACATATTTTTAAAAGTCAAGAATATAAAAAAAAACATTTGTTTTTTGTATCAAACGGTCACGTGGTACACTTGCTAGTATCAATGACCTACTTTTTAATAGCAGGTACTTGTGTAAGCTCGCGCCTATGCCTTGTACCACAGTAGTAAGACGGGCTCGAAGCTCATTAGCCGAAAAGATAATCAATCATAAAGAATTAACGCCGCTCCCCGACGGCGAAAGGTTACCCATTGCTGAAATATACCATTATATACTAAATTGAAACGTATTTATGGTAGTTGACGTAATATCTCGTATTTTTAATGAATACTTTAAAGTATTTATTAATAACTATATTTTCTCGGCTGCTGTTTGTTTATTTTATTTTATTTTTAGTTTTTTATAATCTGGCCATTACTAATAACGAATTTTACAAGCTAAACGGATTTCTATAGTTCTAAGGTTGGACATTTCCTCAAGGTTTTTTTTGTAAATCCATGTATTTACGGGAAGTAAACACTTTGTAGCTCTTTTTACGAAAAATTTTTTTTCGGACTACTCTAATGCTGTTGGCCGCAGCTGGCCTTTACAGCTTCACCGGACGTTAGGGG